AGCCACACCCCAGCCCCTCACTGGAAGATTCTAGGCAGGGGCTCTACCCCTGAGCCACACCCCAGCCCCTCACTGGGGGATCCTAGGCAGGGGCTCCACCACTGAGCCACACCCCAGCCCCTTACTGGGGGATTCTAGTCAGGGGCTCTACCACTGAGCCACACCCCAGCCCCTCACTGGGGGACTCTAGGCAGGGGCTCTACCACTGAGCCACACCCCAGCCTCTCACTTTGTAGAGCAGGCTGGCCTTAGAACTCACAGAGACCCTCCTGTCTCTGACCCAGAGTACCCAAGACTAAAGGCATGCACCACCATGCCCGGCTTAAACCCTCATCATCTTCAGCAGGCACACCTGCCTCTCTGCTGCACAGACCCACGCTGGTCCCACCGAAGCCTGACGGCTCGGCTAGCCCGCCCGTACACACTGAGGTCTTCACTGAGAGGAGGAAACAGCTTGTAGAAATTGGCTTAGACTATTCAAGCCCATCACGGTGAGCTCAATTTTCACCCACATCACTTCGCCGGGTAGCCGGTGGGCTGGCACTCAGGACAGGGAGGCCCTCGGGGCACAAGGCTTGGGGGGCAAAGCTGCAGTACCCACTTCCAGGAGGCTGAGGCAGGAGGCTGCCTGAGCCTGGGAAGGAATGCCAGCCTGGGCAGGAGAGCCATCTCAGCACGTAAAACTAAAGAACCAGACAGAGCCCATCTGTCTCTGGCAGACAGGCTAGGGGTGCCCTGACATGTGGAATTGGCTCCTGTGAGAGACGGCGACCGAAGTGCAACCACACTCTCGCTCCCTGTCCAACCACGGTCCTGGCAGCACGGCTGCCCGTGCCCAGGACAGCACCCGGGGCCTGCTCTGCCCTGGAAGAAGGCAGCCTCTCGTGTGAGCAGGGGGGGTGGTGGCCTGGGTGGCTCCGAACTCGTGTGTGAGCAGGGGTGGTGGCGGCCTGGGTGGCCCCGCTGCACTCGTGTGTGACAGGGTAGTGCCGACAGCCTGGCTTACCTCATAGTCCTGCTCTCCGGCCGCGGCGCCCCCGGCCGAGCTGCCCACCAGCACCTCCACGAAGGCCGAGCCATCGTTCCCCAGGTGCACGCTGTGTATCTGCTCCTCCTTCTCCAGCTGTGGGCAGAGAGTGCGCGTGAGTGTGGGGGCGGGCAGAGAGCCTCCTCCCCCAGTGCCGCCGTGTCGGGACAGAACAGGGTGGCTTCACACTAGGAAGCCCAGGACACTGCAGGAAGAGCTGCCTGAGGGCACACCCCCACTTCACCAGCAGACACCTGCACACTCTCACACTGATGGCGCCTGCCTGCCATGGACCTCTCCATGGTGGCACCGAACTAGCCAAAGGCGTAGCCAGGTCCAAGTTGTCCCACAAAGGACGCCTGACGCTAGGCGTGCCCGGACAAACTGACGCATGCCAGGGGCTCCCGACGTGCTCACTCCGCTCAGACTAGCTGTACGCCCTCGCCAGCCTCCCTCCCGGAGCCTCCGCTCCCTCATCTATAAAACAGGGCAAATCAAGCATCACCCACAGAACCTCGGTGGCTGGAGGCTAGGCCACACGGTCAGCTCTTGGCAGCCGTCAGTCAGCCATTGTTTTCATGCTGGTGACTCTCACTGAAGGAGATATGGGGCTAAAGCCGGGCCTGGGTGGCGCGCACTGGCACATGGAAGTGAGGGCAGGGGCACAAGTTCAAGGTCATCCTCAGCTCACAGCACACTTAAGGCCACTCGGGGTCACGTGAGACCTTGTTCCGAGAGAGAGAGAGAGAGAGAGAGAGAGAGAGAGAGAGACATGGAAGGTGATGGCCATACGGGACAGCCTAAACAAAAGGGAAGTGATGTGTGAGGGTGTGGCCTGTGCTCACGTTTGCGTGCTCGTGGAGGCGGAGGCTGATGTCAGGCTGATGTCTTCCCCTCGGCCCTCCACGGACCCAGCACTCACAGACACAGCCTGGCGTGGCTGTCCCCAGATCCCCTCTACCTCGGCCGCCATGCCCACCCAGTTTTCCCGGGGTAGCAGGAACCCCACTCTGGGCTCACTCACTGCCCAGATCCAGAAACGCTGTGTTCTAGCTGGGCGGGGTGATGTCTTGGATCCCTTGTCCTGGTCCTGCCCGATGCCCCGATGCTTAAAGCACCAGCTGTCAAGCCTGACCACCCGGTGGGAGGGGGGAACCGAGTCCTGAACACTGTCCTCTGCGTGCTGTACATACGCGTGCCCGCACACACAGTCACATCAAGCCACAGCGCTCACCTAGAGGAATATGCGCTGGTTTACTCTGGGGCTGCGCTGAGGGAGCGTGGCCCAGCACCCACTCCACGCCCTAAAGCGGAAGCAGTTTCACTAAGTTTAGACAGTTAAAACACATTGCTGGGTGCCCCCGAGAGGCGGGCACGGGGTAGGGAGCCGTTTTAGTCCCAGGATGCTCTCTGACGACACTCTTAGCTCTCAGATGGTGGGAGCGTCTAAGGGGCTTTCACTTATTCTCATGGGGCGTTGGTTCAGCTAGAGTGGAGCAAGGAACGGCTGTTCCAGAAGATAAAGCCCAAGATAAAGCGAGCAGCCTCTGAAGCTACAAAACCCGCTCTCGCCATAGCATCTGCTCAGCAATCCGTTACAGCACACACTCAGAAATACAGAAAACATGTAACACGGGCCCACGATGGGATCCAGAGACACGAGGCCTGGACGCTACGCACACACCCGCTTCTCCAGAGGAGTGGCGTCCAGCTCCCAGCACCCACACTGCTCGCCTCCGTGGGCACAGACATACGCATGGCACACGGGCACACACACGCAGTAAATAAAAAGGGATCTTCTGAAAATGTAGTAAGAACTTTCAAGGACACTGCTGCTTCAGCTAAGGACTTCAGGACCCTAGGTCCCAGAAAGGGCAGTCTGGGCTGGCGCAGACTGTAGCTTAGCTTTCCCTTTCTTCCTCAGGTTTATTTGTCTCGCTGTGTCAGGGCGTCCTGCCTGGACGGACGCCTGTGTTCCATCACTTTCCTGGCCCTGCAGAGGCCAGGAGAGGTGGAGAACCTCTGGACCCGGAGTCAGACGGTTGTGAGCAGCCTGCTCCTCCTGAAGAGCAGAGGGTGCTTTCACGGCTGCACCAACTCTCTGGCCCCATTTTCTGAGACACGGCCACAGCAGTCCAGGCTACACACAATGCAAAAGCTGATTACAGGCATGAGCTACCACGCCCCAGCTCCATTTCTCATGCTTATATTTAGTTCTCTTTTGGCACATGCTCGTGCGTGCGTGCGTGCATGCGTAGCCACTCTGCCTGTCCCTTTGTCTGGAGTTGTTTTGTCGGTTGCTAGCCGAGAAACACCCCAGGCTCGTCACTCCCCTATTCTCCAGGAGCAGGCGCTGATACAGGCTTCTTATTGAAGAAAGGGCTGCTTGTGAGGGCTCCTCAAACCTGCAGCTCTAGCCTGGGGGCTGGAGACACAGACAGGCGTGGGTGTGGGACACGCAGGGCAGGTGATTGGCAGGTGTCCAGCTGGCCAGCCGGGGCTCTTCTGTGGGGTCCCAGGATGGAGAGCCACAGCCCTGAGAGACACGGCTAGCTGATGGAGTGCCTGCCTGGACGCAGGAAGGCTGGAGTTGGTGGAACACGCTGGCCGGAGTTCAGCGCTTGGAACGTGAGGCAGGGAAGTGAGCTCAGTGTTGACCCGACCTCTGGCTAAAAGGGAGGTCAGCCTATCCCTCGGCTCCGCACAGCACTCTACCGTAACTCACTAGCCATCTTTCTGCTCCTGTGACAGCACAGCGACACTCCTCTGCCCTGCTCCTCCTGACACCTGATAGTCTGCCTCACTGCAGAGATGGCTGAGATGTTAGAGCCCGGTTCACCCGCAGAGGCTCATAGCCTGCTGTGACTCTGGGTCCTGCGGGACCCAAGGCCTCCATGGACGCCCACGCCACCATGCGCTGTCCTCCATCCTCTGTAACTGCCCATCTAGGCCCACCCAGCCTAGACAGAAGGAGCACACGGCCATCAGCGTGGATGGAGGGGGACTCGGAGAACAGCCTGATAATGAACATGTATCAGGCCTTTTAACCTGAGCACAGCAGCTCAGAGAAGAGAATGCTGGCCTCACGCAAAGCACATGCCTATGAGGCCACAGGAGGTCCAGGCCAGCCCGAGGCCATAGCGGGGCCCTGTCTCAGTAACACTGGTAACGGACATCAGGACAGCGGCACCGCCAGCAACCTCAGCACTCCGGAGAGGAAGCCGGCCAGAGTTACACGGAAGACTCTGTCCCAAAACAAAACTACCGGGGCTGGATGGATGGCTCCATGGTTAGAGCACTGGCTGCTCTTCCAGAGGACCTGAACTCAATTCCCAGCAGCCACACAGCGGCTCTCAACTGTCTGTGACTGTAGTTCCAGGGATCCAACACCAAATTCTGGAGTGCAGATGTACATGCAGACAAAGCACCAATATACATCAATAATTTGTTGTTTTGTTTTTCTAGACAGGGTTTCTCTGTGTGGCCCTGGCTGTCCTGGACTCTGCAAACCAGGCTGGCCTTGAGCTCAGAGATCGCCTGCCTCTGCCTCCCGAGTGCTGGGATCAATAAGTAAATCTTTAAAAGGAAAGAACAACAACAAGATAATATGAAAAAAAAAATCACGGCAAGTGTAGTGGCTCACGACTGAAATCCCAACCCGCGTGCCGCAGGGGCAGGAAGAGCCGAGGAGCAGGGCTGCAGCCAGCGCAGGGCCCGTGCCTCTGTAACTGCCCATCTAGGCCCTCTAGACACTCAGGTGACATCCCGCCACGCCGGCGTCCGCCCGGACCTGTCCTGCCTCCCCTCCGGGCCGGGCGGGGTCGAGAGGCTGGACTCCGTGGAGGCGGCTGACACACGGAGGTGTGTGGAGCTGACACAAGCACAGGGCTGAACCCGGTGTGGCGATGCTGGAGTTGTGTAAGTGTTTGGAGAACAGAAGGGAACAGGAAACAGCAAGCACAGTCTACTGTCCTGGCGTCCAGAATCTCCCTCTTGTTGCCAGGGCACGGAACCAAAGCTAGAGCTGGATGAACTCGGGGGCCCGATGGCAGTGCCAAGGGCAAGTGCACTCCCCAGGGGTCTCTAAGGGGACCCGACACACACAGTGCTCACCTATCTGCTGGTGAGCCGTCTGTCTTTCCTCCGCAGAGGCCACTCCCGACTCGCAGCCCCTTTCCCGGGGCGCGGAGCCCCCTGCCCCCAGGTCACCTGACCCACCTCTCCCCGGCCAGGTGGCCAGTATGAGCCCGTTCCGGCTTTCTGTGGGTGCACAGCCTCCCCTGCCTACAGCCACCAGACCCCAGACTGTGGAGATGGCCCAGCGGGCAAAGACTGGGGCCGGGAAACCCAACATGGAGGGAAAGTGACCGCCACAGGTGTCCTCTGACCTCTAAAGATGTGCACACGTGTGTGTGTGTGTGTGTACACACACTAAATAAGTGTGGTTTAAAAGAGAAAGAACGTTTCACAACTTTAGTCCCAGCACTTGGGAGATAGAGGCAGGGGGAACTCCGGGAGTTCGAGGCCAGCCTGGTCTGAATGGCAAGTCCCAGGACATCAACGGCTCTGCAGAGACCCTGTCTTAAAGGCACCAAACAGCGGGCATGGCTGCACTCTTGGGAGCAGCGAAGCCCTCCCACCGTGAACTCGGCTGACCTGGCCGCCAGCGCCCTTCCCCACTGGGCCTTCCCGGGACGTTTCCCTCTCCCTGGCCCTGGGTCCTGCACAGAGAACACGCATGCACATCCCTCGCTGCCCTGGCTCTGGCCTCCTGAGTCGGCACAGGCCATCCAGTCCTTCCCTGTCTTTGCCAGGCTCTCTGGGCCGTTTCCTCTCCCTGCGCCCACTGGGGGCTTACACAACTGAGCATCATTTCCCTGTGTGTGGGGGTCACCTGACCGCACCCTCCCTCTACACACCTCCTACACGCCGACAGGGCACTTCTGCAGACACTATGTCACCCGCTCCACAGCCGTGGGTCCTTACTCTCAATGGGCACATTTAGAGAAACGAAAACATCTGCCTCAGGTCAGAGTAACAGGGAGAGCTGGGACTTGAATCCAGATCCCAAACCAAACACTAAGCAACCTGGTTCTCACACCAGTTAAGAGACAGGCTCTCAGCTGTGTAATTTCTGGGCCTCAGTGCCCTTATCTATAAAGTGGGGATAATGACAGTCTGTTGGTCACGAGGACCAAGCGAATCAAGCCACGTGGGGTGTGTGTGCTGCTGACTGGCAGGCTGCATGGGGAATAACACTAGTTCTCATTACCAGCCTCTGACTTGGGACTTTAAAAACAATGCTTAAACACCTAAAATTGGCCAGAAGCTGCTGCGGATCCATGCTTGTTTGTTTTTCAAACTTCTCTATAATCCTCAAAAGGCTCTGTGCCCCGGAACTGAGCAAGAAAGAGGCCAAGTACCAGCCTCAGGTAAGCCTTGCCCACCAACCGGGGGCCGTGGCCAGCAGCAAGGTCAGCGTGTGAGCTGCACACAGTGCCTCAGACAGGAACCCCAGCAATGGGGGAGGAGGGAGTCCCCCAGAGGCGGCAGCTGGGGGCTGAGCTCCGGAGCGTGTGCACACAGGGCAGACTGGCAACGCTGTATAGCAGCAACACTCTAGAGTGGGTGGAGTCTTAGCAGGATGAGTGCTGGCACAGGACTTCACGGCAGGAGCTGGGGTCAAACACAGGGACACTGCCCGGCGGCCCTGGGCCTACAAACATGTAACTCTTCTCCCAGCATTTTCTAAAGACTTGCCTTTGGTGGAAGGAGGGTGTGGGCCCCCGGGGCCGGCGGTGACAGGTGGGCTGTGAGCCCAGACGTGGGAGCTGAGGACCAAACTGGGCCTCTGGAGAGCAGTTTGCTGTTTTCACTGTGGAGGCCCCTCTCTGGCCTCTTCCCCAGACTTCAGTTCCTGTCACGGTTTACTTTTGTTTTGCTTTTTAAGGCAGGGTTTCTCTGTGTAGCCCTGGCTGTTGTGGAACTTACTCTGTAGACCAGCCTGCCTCTGCCTCAGGAGCAGATTACAGGCGTGGGCCACTGCTGCCTGGCTCATAACATTTTAAAAAAGCAGCCAGAAAGATGTCAGCCAGAGAGGAGACATGGTTCAGTGAGTTGGCCTCTTCCCGAGCCTGCTCGAGGCCCAGTTCAAATCTCAGCACTGTGTGTGAGTGTTGTATGATAATGGAGATAGACAAACACTCAGCATGATAGCACCCACCTGGAATTGCTCTGTCCCAGATGGACACAGGAATTTAAGAAACCCAAAGGAAAGTGGGTGGAGGTGGTGCCCGCTTCATCCCCGGCACTCAGGAGGGAGGCAGAGGCAGGTGGATCCCTCCCCGTCCTTAGCCAGCCTGGTCTACAGAGTTCCGGGACAGCCAGGGCTCAGTAGAGACCCCGTCTCAAAAGCAAAAACACAAACAAACAAAACAGAAGCCGGCCAGCTGGCTTCATTTCTCCTCCAAACACTTGTCTCATCCATGTTATTCGTGTGTCCCGTGTTCCAGGCAAGCCCTTTACAGCTGGGGTATTTCTCATGGGACAGTTGCGTTTTATTTTGAGACAGCTTCTAAGTTGCCCAGGCCGGCCTTGAGCTTGTGACCCTCCTACCTCGACTTCCCAGGCAGCTGGGAGCACAGGCCTGAGCCAGCAGCCCCTTCACGTTCGCACCCTACAACGGGACTGACTTATGCAGACACTTTTCCTGACCACCTTCCCCGCAGTAACTGTCCCAGCTGAGGAAACCGAGGCCCGATGTGGAATCGGCGCACGCAGGGCGCACACACTGGTGCTCCCGTGGGCGGGGAGGCGAGGGGAGGGGAGGCGTCACCTGGAGGACCACGGAGATGCTCTTCTCGCCCGCCCTGGCTGCCCGCCACTTCCGGTACGTGTCGGCCTTCAGCAGGTTTTCCGCACAGTGGGTCTGCGGGCAAGAGCAGCGGGGAGCACGGCGGTGAGAAAGCAGGTCCACGCTCAGCCTCCCGCCGGCGCCTGCGCAGGCCCTTCCCCCTCGCCCCCACAGCGCCCCCGCCCCCCACGCCCGCGCCTCACCGAGTCCTGGCTGCTGCAGGACACGACGTGGCGGAGGCTGATCTCCGGCATCGCCCGACCGGCGGGGCCCGAGGACGCGGGGCTGCAGCGGCTCCGGGCCCGGGGGAGGCCGAGGGAGCGCGCCCTGCACGGCACGCAGTGCGCACGCGCGCCAGGCCCGTGCCGTTCAAACCGCGGCGCGCCGGCGCGGACGTCGGGGTGCGCACGCGCGGTCGGGCCGCTCCGGGGCCCCGCCCCCTGCCCTGACGCCACCGCTCCCGGTGACGCAGCTCGCGGCGTCCTGGGAGCCTGGCAACAGGAGCGGCGCGGTGATCGGCAGCCGGGCGCGCTCCGTCCCCCTACCCCGCGACACACGGACAGACAGACAGACAGACAGCGCTCTCGGAACTTCCTTGGCTCGTGGCCTGGCACCGAAACAGAGGGGGAGGGCGCTTGCAGGAGCCGCGCCGCGCCGCGCCGCGCACGAGCTCCCCCGCGTGCTCCCACGAACGCCTCGGCTCCCCAGGGCTCCGCGCGCGCTCTCCGTCCTCTGCGAGCCTGGCCGTCCGCAGGCTGTCCTCTCTTCGGTCCCCTGCAGACCAGGGGCACAGGCCTGGGCGGGGCCGCAGTGGGCACAGCTCACACAGAGGAGAGAGTGTGCGGCGGGCACGCGAAAGGGAAAGGAAGGCGGCGGGCGCCCGGCCCCCGCAGGACGCGCCCGGACATGCTGGGCGCTCCCAGGTGAGGGCCCACCCACGCGGGGAGCCTCCGGCGATGCTCTGCACCCAGGGAGTCCTGTGCGCCAGCCCGCCCCTGGGCTCTGTGAACACGGGGGTCGGGGGGGGGTACAGAAGGGCCCTCCGGGGGCGGGTCCAGTCTCCGGCGGCTCCACGGCTGCCACCCGGAGGCTGTGGGGGACTGCGCGGCTTCTGACCTCAGCTCCTCTCACCCCAGGGTGGAGGTGGCGCCGGCCCGCCCTTCCCGGCGTCCTATAAGGACCGGGGACCTGGCGGGCAGGCTCACACACCATGAGGCTGCCTGGGAGACACAGGACCTTGCTGCTGGCCCTCGCGCTCTGCGCCCTTCTGGGTCTCGGTGAGTGACAGGGGACCTGGTCTCGCTCCTGGGGCCGCAGAGGGCTTGGTGGGCCGGGCATGGCTTGTCCCTCAAAACCAGACATCTGAATTCTAGGAAAGTGGATGAGCGCTGTCAGAGAAACTTTAAAAACGGAACTAATTCCTCGGAAGGAAAGGGAGGCTTTTCCCTGAGTTAGAGCAGTCCGCGTCTTCACCCCATCCCTGCCCAGACACACACGCCTGCCTCTCCGCTCACACACAGCTCCACGCTGGCCTCTCTGTCCCTCGTTCCCGCTCACACACAGCTCCAGCCTCTGTCCCCATCCCGGCTCACACACAGCTCCACGCCGGCCTCTCTGT